TGGGCGCTGTCCCTCAGCTCTTCAGCTCAAGGCTAGCACTCTACCACTTGAGCCACAGCACCACTTCCAGCTTTTTTCTTTTTGCTTATGTGGGGATGAGGAATGGAACCCAGGGCCTCAGGCATGCAAGGCAAGCGCTCTACCACTGAGCCACCTTCCCAGCCCCTCTCCACTTCCTTAGTAGCTTAAGTTACAGGCCTGAGTCACTAGGGCCCAGCAAAACAGTGTCTTAGCTACTAATAAGGCTGAGATCTGAGGATGGCAGCTTGAAGCCAGCCAGGGGAGGAAAATTTGGAGATTATCTCCAATTAACCAGTAAAAAGCTAGAGGGGCTTCAACTCTGAGCCTGGGTGCTGTCCCTCAGCTCTTCATCTCAAGGCTAGGGCTCTACCATTTAAGCCACAGCATCACTTCTTACTTTTTCTGTTTATGTGGTATTGAGGAATTGAACCCAGGGCCTCATGTATGTGAGGCAAGCACTCTACCATTGAGCCACCTTCCTAGCCCCTCCTTCAGTTTTATGAAAACACAGAATTGATCAGTTGCCATAAACTTAGAAAACCTATCAGTGAAAAGCTTGGTGAGATAAAATTGAGAGAATATCACTTTCTAGAAGGCTTATCATAATTAAATATCTTACTTTGTTCTTAGAAATGGTTCATTTGATTTCACTCTGTAGCATTGTTCTTATGTTTATCTTCTGTTACAGACATGCCTTTCTTTGACGTGCAGAAAAGGCTGGGCATTAGCCTAGATAGGCACTTGACAGTCCAGAGTGCTGAGCAGCCCTTCAAGATTGCTTCTCGATGCCATGCTTTTGAAAAAGAATGGATAGAATGTGCACATGGAATTGGTAATATCCGGGCACAGAAAGAGTGCAAGATAGAACTTGATGATTTCCATGAATGTTTGCTACGACTAAAAACGGTGAGGAAGTGATGGAGATGTGCACCGAATTAAGTTCTTGTCTTTTTTTTTTTTGGTCAGTCATGGGGCTTGAACTCTGGACCTGGGTGCTGTCCCTCAGCTCTTCTCCTTAAGGCGAGTGTTCTTCCACTTGAGCCACAGCGCTATTTCCAGTTTTCTGGTGGTTTATTGGAGATAAGAGTCTCACAGACTTTCCTACCTGGGCTGGCTTTGAACTTCAATCCTCAGATCTCAGCGTCCTGAGTAGCTAGAATTACAGGCCTTAGCCATTGGTGCTGAGCTCTTTTTTTTAATGTGTGTCTGTGTCTGTGTGTATGTGCGTACATGTATATGCGTGTGCCAGTCTTGAACTCAGGATCTGGGTACTATCTCTGAGTGGTTTGTTTGTTTGTTTGTTTTTGATCTTGGGGCTTGAACTCAAGGCCTGGGCACTATCTCTGAGCTTCCTTTTGTTCAAAGTTAGTGCTCTACCATTTGAGCAACAGTGCCACTTCTGGCTTTTTCTGAGTAGACTATTGGAGAGAAGAGTCTCCTGGGCTTTCCTGCCTGGGGTGGCGTCGAGCCATGATCTTGAGATCTCAGTCTCTTGAGTAGTTAGGATCCAGCTGAGTTTACTCTTTTTGAGGTGAGTACTTGGATTTGAACTCAGGATCTGTGCTTGTTAGGCAGGTACTCACTCTGCTGCTGAACTCCAGCCTTTTTTTTACTCCATCACTTGAGCCACAGTGCCACTTCCAGCTTTTTCTGTTTATGTGGTACCACCAAGCCATATTCCCAGCCTCTGTTCTGGTTATTTTTGAGGTAAGTCTTACTTCCTGCCTGAGTGCATTATAACTCCTGAGTGGGCTCTGCCTATGTTATGTTTTCTTCTTGTGCCTAGGGCAATAGCATGTGCCACTGAATTCAGTTCTCCATTGAAAAGGTGTTTCATGAACTTTACTGCCCAGGCTGTCTTTGAACTATTGTCCTCCTAATCTCGGGCTCTCTAGTCGCTAGGATTATAGGTGTGAGCCTCAAGCTCTTGGATGGGCTTTTATTAAGTGTTCTTAGTTGGTTATTGGACAGTAACTTGCTCAGTGTGAATTTGTAAAACTGTGGTCAGACACCGCTACTTAGGTACCATGACAAGGACATTAAGTGTTTTTAGGTCTGAGTAGGACCTATTTTTTCTCAAGTGTTTTTCCTCATACTTTTCCCAGATTTTTTTTTTTTTGTAACTTTGTACCCTCCTATACCCACCAGCTTCAAAATTGCATGTTGTGTTTGTCCTTATTTTCAGTAGGCTATAAAGCAAAAACAGTCAACTAGCTTTGGGTGTGTGTTCTTGAAAATCTGTAGATGAAAATATTTTACATGGGGGCTGGGAAGGTGGCTCAGTGGAAGAGCGCTTGCCTTGCACACATGAGGCCCTGGGTTCGATTCCTCA